ATCGTCTATCAAAAACAAAGCCACACAAACAAAATGCTTGAAGAGAACAGCAACTCTGAAAATTGTTGTGGATATATATAGTGTGTCTATCTATCCTTCCTTCATAGATAGATAGTGAAACCTCTTCTGCAGGCTTCAATATAAAACCAATACAAGTCCAAAACTGATGTTTTTTCCCATTAAACAAGAGATCCAAGCAGTTAACATCAAAAGCATCTCAAGCCTCTTCAGCCTTTTTTAGAGCATGTTAAATGATGGTAGGTTGCTCATGAGAAGTATATATAACACCAAGCTGACTTTATCTTATTTTTCATTATTATTATTATTATTTTGAATCGATTACATTGGACATAATAGGCTATTAGAATATCACACCATCCTTTTTAGAAAATATTAAACTAAGAAATGTGGATTTTTTTTGGAAATCATAAGATATTCATGGATTTTTTGCTTGGGGTCTGGATTGACTCATATTCAGATCATATGGTTTATTGAATAAAATCTGAAGTGCCCTTTATATCTTATCATCATAATGTACAATGATAAAATAAGCAGAGATTAGAAAAACTGCTGGCAAAGGAGCAATTAAGCAACAGCTTTGAGAAATAAGAGACAATGAAAATAAGGGCATGTACCAATTGTGTTATATTGTAAAGAAGCTCGTGTAGCAGTCTTGCTTCACATTGATTTTTGTTCCATTAGCTTAAATCAAAATCGTAAGAGACACCTGAGCTCAGTCCAGAGCACACCAGTAGAGAACCATTTCTATAGAGAGCATGTTATAAACAGCGCAGAGGGGGACCGCAAACCTTGTCATTGACACAACAGTCTGAGAGAGCATACTATGTGTGTGTCTGTGTGTGTATGTCAGCCAGCTCCCAGTCTAGCGCTATTGTCTAACAAGGTCTAATTAGCACTATGGCACAATGAATTAGCATAATTATGCAAACAGGGCTCCGCTAAAGGCCTGGCACAAGGGGAGGCTACGGGGGGCACCTATTACAACACACACGCACATGTGCAGCTTCAAACGTGTGCACACACACAAACACAGTCACTAAGAACACTTAGACACTGGTATAAAACATTAAACACACATACATAAAGGTGACAGTGCCTCTGAATACAGAAAACACACAGATACAAACATACCTGTCCACCACTTCAACAGAGAGTGACAATAACACAAGCCTGCACGTGCACTGTTCAATGGCCTATTTGATAGGCTATTTATGTATCTAGTACGTTCTGTATGCTGATACCCCTCTTATCTTTCCAAATACATCCTCCAGTCATAAACAGCCCCCATACCACCACAAACATCAGAAATCGGCTCTCCACAACCCTCCCTCAAACACTCAAACATTCAGGGTTTATAGTATTTACCAGCAGGGGTGATAGGTGAAGTCTGTGGGAGATAATAGGGATGACTGAGAGGCTGAAAGGCTAGTAGTCATTTAGACAATGACAGCTGTAGTGAAGAAGCTTCTATTAGGCTTCATTAGGACGCTAGGCTCTTGATTATATGCACACACAATCTCACTGTCATGTTTCCAGTGCTTCAGAGGACATTGTATTGACTTACATTCATTTCCTGCTGACATATCGTAACCATAACCATAACCACAACCGCTATATGTATAACACTAAACCTTATCTTAACCAAACCCTGACCTTTATCATGTCTTCCACCTAAAATGTATTGATTTACATAATGGAGTCTTGCTTTTTGTCCCCAAACAATTTGTGTAACCCACAAAGTGGCAATACAAACAGATTTGCATCCCGACAGAACGTGTAATGCTATAAGTACTGGCACATACACACAAGAAAAATTAGTGTGTGTGTCCATACAAGCACTTTGGTTTGTCACAGTGACCTTTGCTTGAAACATTAACCCAACAAGTGACCCCGCAGCCCAACAAGCCCTCTTACCAAAAGCCCCGCGACGTCAACAAGCTTTATCCAAACCCTCTTAAAGACACACACACATTCACACATCCTGTGCCCCGAGGGGCATGAATTGTGTGCTAAAATCCTGACCCCTTAGCCGGAAACAAGCACTGCTAAAACTCCTAACGACACCCATACAAAGTTTTCTAACAATTACAAGCTAAAGAACCGGGAAGGTCAGGAGTTCAGAGTTCAGATAGTTAAAAGTGATCAAGTCCAGACTGAAATAGTCCCAATCATACAATGAAAAGACATAACAAGCAGCAAATGTTACTGCAGATTCATGACCTCTGGATAACCACCAGATGGGGTGCTTTCTATGTATATATTTTACCAAGTGAACGTCATGTTCCAGTCACCTCTCAAGTGTGTGCCATCTTTAGGATATGTAGGAAGAGCCATTCACAAGTCCTGGTCTGACTGATGTCATTCCACAGAAAACAAACCTGAACCCACTCCGTTCCAAAAAAAAAAAAAAAAAGGTAGTAGTAGGTCAATGATTTCTGATTTTGTGGAAAAAGATATTAAAGCAGCTATTTAGGTTTGCCATTTTAATTCTCTTACTTTTATTTTATTGTGCTCACTTAGGTAGTTTCTTGAGTCCGCTTGCCTTGTTGTAGTGTTAGAAAGGTAGTTATACCAGCATTTTCCACTAATATTAATGCATATATACATTATAGGAGACAGATTAGCCACCTGTCTAGATTGTACCCCACCTCTCACTCTATGACAACAGGGATAGGTTCCAGAACAACCCAAACACAAGCTTGAAGAAAGGAAACTGTATCATCCCATATATTAAAAATGGTACATTATTTAAAAGTTATCCATAATACAATTGTCATAACCTAAATTCTTCACTGAGAAGCCTTGCAAGGTCCACTGGTCTTAAAATGAAAGTACTGACTTTATCTTCGCCTTAAGAAACAATATATTGTTCAATATACTGTGGGATAAATACAATAGCTGGGACAGAGGGTCACGCTGAGAGGGGGGGTAGCAATTTTAAGCTGAGTCCACACATTTTGGAAGCAGTGTGCTAATCCGGCCAGGCTTTTTAGCCCGCTATTCAGGAGGACAAGGACCCCTAGGATTTGGGCTTGTCCACACCTCAGGGGTAGGGGATTATCAAGACAGCAGGAAAGGTGGAGAGGGAGTGATGGTGGGTGAAATGAATATGTGTTAATTAGCACAGTAGCAGTAGATTCTCTAAGTATTGTCCCTGCCTGTATATCTTTGTGACGAGCACACATAAGTAAGTATGTGTGTTTGTGTATTTTAGAGAGGTTTCTCTCTGACTCCCGCCCTCAAAAATATACCCCAGAGCTCTGACAGGGTCACCTCTGGGCCTTTCAGTGCCTCCTCTCAACCAGTCCTAATTGATCTCACGCATTACTAGCCCCAAACATGGGATGGAGAACAGGAGGGAGATGGCTGCCCTATTGTTTGACGAGTGAGGTCCCGTTGCTGGTGGCTCTCTACTCCTTTCTACACACACACCCACACACACACACACACCTCCGGCATGCCCACCCACCATCTCCCCCTTTTCCTCTTCTATGCTCTCATCTCCGGCTGTGCTAATCCACTGACCAAGTCAGGAACTCAGTTACCCATCTGGCAAAGCATGACTCCAGCTGGGAAGACAGAGAGGTGGAGGGGTAGAAGGAAGAAAGGGGAGCAATGGTGAGAGGGGAAAATTGAGAAAGAGGAATGTGGATGAGGGGGTATGCTCTAAGTAGTTGGAGATTTCTTATGTGAAGGAGAAAGCCTTTATACAAGTTACTACTTTATATATACTCTAAAGAAGGAAAAGAATGAAAAACAGAGCGAATGAGGTATCTGCAAACCAGAAAGAGCGGTGAAGTGGAGTGGAACAATCCAAAAACATGATGACCTCTTCTTTTTCACTCTCCAAAGAAAAAAGTATTGATCCTCTTGTCTCCTTGTGGAGAAAAAGGATTACCCATTCTAGCAGGTTGGAATGAGAGTTGCCACTGAGCTCTGTCATTACTAATCTGATTCCAGTGTGCAGTGAAGTAGCCTCTAGCCATGGCATTCACCCCTGACTCCCGTGGAACCATCTGGCTGAGTAGCACTAACCCATGACCTTTCTCTAACCAGTCACATGCCTGGGAAGATGGAGCTTCACAAAAAGCTGTATAAAATGGCTCAAAGTGAACAAGAAGCACATATATTGAACATGATACTTACAAATCCCTTGTTCATATTGCAATAAGACATTTGTTCCTGTCATGTTGCTGCAATATTTTTAATATTGAGGTATAGTTAAAGAGATCTTTTTACTAATATAGACAAAACATTCATGTTATATTTTGGGCAAGTCACGGATTGTGCAAAATGCATTGATAATTGTAAGAAACAACTGCAGTTACATTAACTGTGCATATAAAGAATTGCCTGAAATCACATTTTGGAGAAAAAAAATCCAAACTGTAGCTGAAATGCCGCTGTGGTTAAAAACACAGTGCTACAATACATCAACAAGAAACTGTACAGAACAGCCTGAATTTAAAAAAAATCTGAAGTAAACCCACTTCTGATAGTCTAACACTTTAAAACAGTTTCAAAGAATGAAGGTCAGAGCGAGTGAAGTGACCACTCCATATCATGGAGCATGTGCAAATCCCTCCTTGACTCATGGTCTTTCCTTTCTCCCAAACCACTCATCAGTGTCGACTGAAGCAATAAGACTGCAACCCACTTTACTTCTAAAGGACATCTGAAGGTAGTTGGGAGGAATGAGCACATGATAAATCACTGTAGAAGCAGCACACGAGAGACACACTCCAATTCAGAGAGAGGGAATCAAACCACCTGCATCAAACCATCAATCAAACACTAACAGAACACAGCATGAGGTTAACCCAAACTTGTAGCGTGGGTGCGCTTGTGTGTCAAGGATAAAAGCCAGGGAGCACTATGGGTAAAATGAACTCCGCTGTGAACACAATCATATGCATGCTCTGATAAACACTCAAACACATTACAAAGACAATGCCTAGTAAGATAAAGCATGTACTTACAGACATTACCGGTGTTGTCAAAACTGTTGAGCACTTCATTAACTCTAAGAGGTCCCATGTTATCCCTTAGAGATACAAAAATATAAATGATTATGCAGCACGCTTGGAACATAAACTATCCTTTTTTATATAGATGATAGATGAAGAAGACTAAAGTGCAAATTTACTATTCTGAGCTTTGTTCAATAGCAAAAGCATCAAAAAGTGAACACTAATTAGGTTTGTCATATATTTACATATCTCTGACACAGCTATTTTGCAGAAAAGCATTGGGCTGTATTTTTGCTACATCTGAAATTATTCCTTTTTTAAATCTGCTTCTAATTTAAAATTGAAACATGTTTTAGATATTTTCTTTCCACCCACATGACCAAAGCTTTGTGGTACTTCATATATACTTCTCTTTGTTTGTTTTTCTTTGTTTGTTCAACTCAACTTTACTAAAGTCTTTACTTTTGATGACACAAGATAAATAACATTGTAAAAAATATTCACAGTAGTTTTTAACTAGTATAATATTGCAGTATTACAAAATGGCCCTTTGTGTTTTGCAGTGTCACTGTGCTTTACAAATGCCAGAATGAAACAAGAGCCTTATGTGGATCCATTCATGTGTGTGTACCTAAGTAAGGCACTGTACTCAGGAAAGTAGACACTTCTGTACTCCACCCACTGGTCATCTGAGGTATCACTGTGGTCTCGTGCCACAAGCCTTTTTCTGCTGAAAAGGTCAAATGTGGCAAACCTGCGAACAGACACTTGTTTGACCTCCGGACTCTCCACCTGCTTCTGACGCAACACCTGTGACAAGAAAATAAGAAAGTGGAAATAAATACAGCCTTCCTCCAGTCCAAAAGACAAGAGGTCTTTTGGGATTAGTATAACATTTAAATATGGTGACAAATGATCTGTTGTTTACAGTAAATCCTTGACAGTATTTATTATGTTTAATACATTTTTTCAGAAAGAAAACACAAAGGATTGAGTTTGGTTTTTGAGTACAGTAGTGAAGTGTTAGCAACTTTGCCTAACAGCAAGAAGATCCTGGGACATTTTTGTGTGGAATTTGCATGTTCACCCTTGTCACTCCATGGGCTCTCTCCACACAATGTGACAAATGTGTTATTGTACACAGTAAATCCATGAAAGTATTCATTATGTTGCATAAATGTTTTAGAAAGAAAAGGAAAAAGTGCCAAAAAGTAGTCTGGAGCTTTTTGCACCTCCTGGAGGGAGATATTTTTGTCAGCCAAATGTAAGGGCTGCATAATGTCCATGTAAGGGAACAGTTACTGCTCTAGTGCGTGCAAGGTTTTCAGAAGTTGTGGGGAGGGGAAAAGATGGCTTTCAAGTGTTAACAAAGCTACTGTTACCAGCAAAGCTGTGAAGCCGATGTGTTATACAATAATTCAGGCAATACTGTATGTTAAAGCAGATCAGCAGAAAAAAAGACTGCTGTACTGTAATTAGTATATCATTATACTTATTATTATACTTATTATTAAGTGCTGGATTATCAGATTGTACAGAAACTGCCCCCTCCTTTTGGGGCAAGAAAGTAAATACAGTGCAGTTCATGATCCTTTTAAAAGTTAAGTAAACCATAGAGTTTTTGGGAAGCGTGACAGGGAACTCTGGGTTCCCATCATCTTTGTTCTTCCTTCAGGGACAGCAGTGCAATCATGAGAGTTCTGTGCTTGCATACCTGTCTCAGCAGGGTCCACCTGGCTCGTGCGACATCAGTATTTCTACAGGTCCCTGACCGGGAGGCGCGGGAATCAGCTGCGCGAGTGTCTTCGTGAATATTTTTCCCCAAAGGTGACGCCGGCTCGGTCCTTTCTGCAGCACCAGAAGAGTCCCTGTCCATTTTATCTTCGTACTTCTGGTAGGAGATAAACCCGTAAGCATTTGTTTAAATCCTGTTCATGCAGCTGTCACAGTTACAGCGGTGCGGTAATACAAAAAAATAAGGCTTTTTTTCTATAGCGACGCAGAAATGATCACATACACCGCTTCACTGTCATCACCTGTTACACCCACAAAGGATGCATGCTACTTCCGTACACTTTTGCAAGTCCAGGCATGTTAAACGATCGCGCTCGATTTCACAATTATAACTGAGGGCTGCTCACAAACGGATTTGATTAGTTTTGCCTGGCATTGCTCGCTACGTCATCAAGCGGGTATTCGTTTAGGAAATCGTACATGTGCCTGAAAATGTTCTCGCTGGCTGTTGTGCGTAGCTGAAGAATTAACGTAGAAGAAAGCAGCGAGGATTATAGGGCAATTAAAATGCCCTAACTGTCGCAAATGTGACCAACTGTACCTGATAGTAACCGTTAGCTAATTAAAATCACGCAAACGTCGCTGTCACCGGTTCATTTTATCTCATTAACGGTTAAACATTTGTCATGGCGTGTATATCGACTTTGTTTTTCTTATCTGCTCGTGTTCCGATGCAATTTCGGGTAAAATTCTGGGAGCTAACCGCTTGTAAACGGAAAACATGGCTCTCCTGGTCCCTTCAGCGTTGTTGCTCGTCGGTAAGGAGTTCATTCAACGTTAAAGATGCTGTTTTTACTTACCTTTGGCTTGGTGCAGGATTACACGCTGGTCTCCCGTCTCGCTGATAACGCTAACTCATTCATTATTGAAAACCGTGTCTTTCTGCCGGGTTGACAAAACTAGTCTTGTAAGGAGACACAGATAAGGGCATAGTGCTGAAATTGACACTCTGAATCTGGCTCGCTGTGCTGGCAAACGCCTCCTATATGTTTTGTTATGCATGTGTTTATGTGAGTACTATATAAATATGCCCAAAGCTCTTCTACCCAAATGGTTAGCATTTTAAAATAACTTGAGATTCAAATTGGATCATTTATGAACGCAGTCATTTATTTATAAAAGCCTTTCCTACATTGCCATCACTATCATTGTTTTATATAGGAATTAGCCTATTGGTTTGACAAGACAAATATAAAGTCGTATGGGACTATTTTGTCTACTGTCAGCTGCTCCCTTTAGGTGTCACCACAGTGGCCTCCATCTCACCCTATCCCTGTCACACCCTCTGCATGTCCTTCTTCTCTACATCCAGGAATCGTCTCTTTTCCCCTTGCCTGTCAGCTCCATATTCATCATCCTTTTTGCCACTATATTTACTGTCTCTCCTCTGCACATGTCCAAACCATCCCAGCCTTGCCTCTCTGACTTTGTCTCCAAACTGCTCAATCTGAGCTGTTCCTCAAATGTACTCATTACTAATCTTGTTAATCCTGGTCATTCCCAGTGGAAATCTTATCATCTTCAGCTCTGCCTCCTTTCCTTTTGCTAGCACCACCCTCTCCAAACCATGCATCATAGTAGATCTTGCTACCATCTACTAAACCTTCTCTTTCACTCTTGCTGCTATCCTTCAGTCACAAATCACCCTTGATATATCGTGCCCACCCACTCCACCACACCTTCACTTTTTCCTTCACCTATCTTTGTGTGTGGACTGTTTTTCGTTTTGGATGGTTTACCCCAGGTGTTTAAACTCTACCTTCACTCATCTTCTCTTCAGTGTTACACCTGTCTCTTTCTCACTCAGATACATGTATTCTGTCTTGTTTCTGCTGACCTCTTCTCCCCAAAGCATACCCCCACCTCTCCAGGCTCTCATCTACCTGCTTCAATACAGCCAATCACACTGGGGAATTTATAAACTCAAGAATGTGATCATAATAGATCTCAATTTTGAGTGTTTCTGCACAAAGTGTTTTAATTACATCTCTAAAATGAATTTGTTTGTGAATTTGGATTATATTTTCTTTCAAACAGAAGCATTAAGTAATCAAGGATGAAAAAACACTGGGGTGACTTCATTATAATTTGTGATTTATCAAAGTATATGTAGCCAGTCATGTTCAAATAAAAGCAGTATACTTTAACAGTGATTCACTCAAATTTAGCTTAAGATTTATAATATTTTTTTTCTAATACTATTCAAATTAGGATAATTAGTTTTGTAACAAATAGCAGACCAAAATTACTGAAAGAAATTTAAATATCTGTTTAAAAGTCAGGGTTTTTTTGCATACAATTGAAAACTGTAACTAATGACATCATAGCATCTATTTTTTTTAATAAATTCCATCATTGATAAAAAAAAAATCAGTATAGATTTAATAAACACAATTAGAGCAATAAACATATCTTCTGGTGTTTTGCTCACTTCAGAGTTAAACAGTCACGTTTCCCGAAACTTAAGTTTTATCATTGAACACTTTTCATGTCGCCTCCTTGTCAATCCTTAGAATTACACAAAAACAGACATTGTTAGGCAGCCAGGTTATCTAACAATGACTTGCTGAACATAGCGCTTGTATCTTTAACTATTGCTCACACTATAAGTACAGTAGTGCTTACTCAAAAAGACTGTGACACTTCAATAAATAGGTGGAGGAATATTGCAGTAATTTTTGAAGCTGTTTTATTTTAGGATACTTCGTTATCATCGTCTGACCATCTAAGCTCCGGACTCGAGAGGTACAGGGACTTACAGAAGTATTTCAGGAGGAGGTTAAAGGATGCATACCACAGGTTCTCCAATATACCTGATTACTCAGTGGTGAGGATGCCCTTTTGTTTTGGATTTGTCTATTTTATAATGATTTTGAATATTATCTTAGTGGGACTGATGGACAACAATAAATATGACTTGTTTGGCAATTGAGTTTCTATATCATGAAAAGGATTATTTGGTAGCCTCAAATTATGTTAATCATATCTGTTGTTGTTATTTATCTTGTCAAAGGTCTCTGGACATCACCATTTATATTTCACTGAAGAAGATGGGATATACAGAATGGACAAGAAACAGAGTAAGCAGCAAACATGATGAGGGTCTTTAAACCGCTCATGTTAGCAGCTCTGAAAGCCTAAAGTTTAGCAGCAGAAGACTATTTTCTCAACAGGGATATTTTTTCCTACTATATCCCTGTTACTGCATGTGCAACTTTTTATGCAGTCCATCATTAGAAATCTTTCCAACTTATTTCTTCTGTTTTTAGGTCACCTAGAGCCAGAGAAGGTGTTAAATCTAAGACAAATCTCTGGAGAGTTGGAGAAGACGGGACTTGAAAATAATAAGAGAAAGCAAAGATTTCAGTGGACGGTCCAGAGAATCCGTCTATCCCCACAGGAAAGGCATCTTGCAGCGTCGCTAAAATGTACTCACACGGAAGAGCTGAGGTAAATCAAACAAGGCATTTTAAACTACTGTACTTACTGAATTAGAAAGAGGATGTTAATTTTGTGATGAATCAGGTGTGTGGTCGTGAGGCTTGAAAGGAGAAGATTCCTACCTCTGCATCCCCAACATGTGACACTAACCCTGGAGAAAGTCTTTAGCTTTGGTAATTTTTTGCACAATAAAAATTCGTTTCAGTTGTGTTACAGGTAAGAGCACTGATGTAAAACTTAAAATACTGCATATTATTGTGTGCATGTGTGAAGAGTGGGCCACAGATGAGATACTATTTTACTCGACTCTGGAAGGTCTACGTTCCAGCGCAGTGTTTCGTCTGGATCTCACCTCCAGCGGAAGCAGGATAACCTCTGTATTTGAGGAAATGCAGCCTGAGTAAGTGTAAGCGATGCAGCATGTAAGCTGCGTCTACTCCCACACCATCTCTAATTGACCTGCTGACATCTCCCCAGTGTGTTTGTGGAGGTTGCCCTGACCAGAGACCGACAGATCCTGACCATCAACTGTAACAGCAGGACAAGTTCAGAGGTGCTGCTAAGTGATATAGCAACATCAAATTTAGATCCATTTGTGGTTCAGCCACGCCAGCTCAATCTCCTGTACCACGTGGAGCACTGGAGAGGTCGGCTTATTATACTGGCAAATACAGGGCTTGGACAAGAATATCAGGTATAGT